ATTTCTTTTGGTTTTGGATAGTCCTTGAGAGTTCATTTCCTAGATGGGTATCTGGCTGGTACAGTTGTGCATCCTAGATTCTGCCTGTGAGCTGAAGTTGGTTGTTCTCAGATCAAAGAACTCCCTTTAATAATTCTTGTAAGTTTGGTTTGGCTTTTACATATTCCCTTAATTTCTGTTTATCTGGAAATCACCTAATTTCACCATCATGTTTGAATGAGAGTTTTGCAGGGTATGTTATTCTTGGCTGGCAATTTTTTTCTTTCAAGATTTTATATATGTCTTCCCACTGCCTTCTTGACTGCATGGTTTCTGCCGAATAATCTGAGCTTAGTCTTACTGTTTCTCCTCTGTATGTGACTTCTTGTTTTTCACGAGCTGCAGTCAGGATTCTTTGTTTTGGCAAGTGTGATTATGATATGCCTTGGTGATTTTCTTTTGGGGTCTCTCCTATATGGGCTTCGTTCAGCTTCTTGGACAGCCAGCTTTTCATCTTTCACGATACTGGGGAAGTTTTCTGTCAGTAGTTCAATGATCCTCTCTGTGTTTTCTGTTTTGTCCCCCTGTTCTGGAACTCCAATCACTTGAAAATTTTTGCTTTTGATTGTATCCCACATAACTCTCAGTGTCTCTTCATTTTTCTTTGTTCTTTTTTCTGATTTTTCCTCAAACAGAGTTGTATCCAAGTGTTTGTCTTTAATTCCACTGATCCTGTCTTCCACCATTTCAAATCTGCTTCTCAGCTGTTCTGTGACACCGTCCATTTCTGAAATCTTGTTGTCTATTTTTTTGATTTCTAATTGTTGTTTTAGTATAATTTCTAGTTGTGAATTTATTTTGGCATTTTGTTTCTGCATCATTTTCCTGAATTATTCTAATTTTTTGTCTGTATTTTTTTCATGAATTTGTCTATTTTTTCCTCATTTTTGTCTGCTTTTTGCTTCAGCTCTTGGAGAATTCTGAGTATTAGAGATTTGAATTCCCTATCAGGTAGTTCTAGTGCCTTTTCTTCCACTGGAAAGTCATCTGGGGCTTTATTTTGGACACCTACTTGAACCATCCTGTCCTGTTTTTGTAAATGTTTTGATATTGTCTGCTTTCTTCGGAGCATTCAGTAGTTATTTTTCTCGTTTATTGATTGTAGATTTGTTTGTTTCTTCCCTTTTTTTTTTGTTTTAATTTGGCTATGTCTGAGCAGGTGGGCTGTATGGTCTTTGTTGTTTGCTTGTTTGTGGGCCCAATACTTTTCGCCTCCTCCGGTTGGCAGGGTCATTCACTCAGATATGGTATGGCAGGGCAGGTCTAGCTGAAGAGGAGTTACTGGGACGGGTTGTTTGTGGCACTTACTGCAGCCACTAGGGCGGGTCGGTAATGAGTGCAGGGCAGGTTCCAGTAGGCCGTGCCTGTGCTGCTTGGTGGTGCGATGTTAAGCGCACGGTGCAGCTAGGCAGGATGTAGCGGGGAGATTGTTATGTGTGGAGCTAAGATGGTTATGGGAGAGAGGAACAGGAGCCAAAAACATACAAACAAAAAAGAATTCTAGGGGAGCTTGCCATTGGAGTGGAGAGATGAGAGACTATGAAATGGAGAAAAACAATAAGGGGAAGAGGAAGAAAAGAAAAGAATGAATAAATAAAAATCGGAAAGGTTAAAGAACCGCAGAGTTCCCAGGGATCCACCGATG